GTTTTAAGTATCCTTACATGTTAGAAAGCAGCTGGGCATCAATAATCTACCTGCCAAAGATCTATAATTGCATCATGTGTTGTTGCACTATAAACAGCAACAAAACTGTTATTTCTACTGTTTCTACAAAGTATGAACAATGAAGAATACCACAGAAAGCTTCCAAATGGAAACTTCTTCAAACAAAGGTGCCTGAAGACAATACAAAACATTTTTCTTTGCTACTTGTTTTTTAAACCAATGGTTTATATCAAATCTATAATAAGCAAGGTTCCCCGAAAAAAACGGAATCCCAAAGTAGGAGCTGTCTATAATAATCAAACAGGTAATGATAATGTAACAAATTTTAATGAGAATTAATAATAAAGTAGAAAAACATATAAATACACCTACTGACAAAGAACATCTAAAATCAATTAAAATAACAAACAAGTCCTCCCTGATGTAGCCCAGTGTTGATTGATATAGATGAGAATCTAGTGACCGTTAATGGTGGTCGCTAAGAGTCACTGATATTGGACACAAGCGCTGTGTTAGGCAAGCAAATACTCAGTATCAAAGAAGAGAAAAAGAAGGAATTACTCACTTCTGATGTGGTTTAGGTGGTAAGACAGTTCCTAACAAAAAAGACTTCAAGCATGCATGAGGTAATGGTCACAATGGCTGTCCCAGACTGCTGGTCCCCGGTTTCAGCAACTTTATTTTCCTGTATGTTGGTATAGTTGCTGCGAGGTCTGCTGTGGATCCTCCAAGTCGGCTCCTGCCTATGTAGTTGTATTCAGACCTGTGTTTGATAGTAAAGCTGGAAAGTTGTATTCCATATGTGCGGCCGCACTAACGAATGCAGGTGAATAAAGATCCACGAGGAGTGTAGCTTTCTCTTAATGGGTCCAGTCAGCATGGATTTAGCCAAAGAAAAGTGAGCAGATAGTATTCAGAGTAAAGGTAGTACTGTCAGATCCACCATGATTTGGTTGGTTTGCTTTGCCATCAGTGTCCCCGAAGGGATTCCGTATATCCAGCAGAGTCTGCAGAGTAAAATCATGGGCACAAAGGGAGGGCTGTATACACGTTTAACCCTAACGTTTCACCCCTGCACACCGGGCTTCCTCAGAGGCACGTGTGGTGGACATCTTGCAGAGGTGAGTCATATAGCTCCTGGATCAGAGCTTAATGAAGTTCAGGTGTACTTGAACAACTAGTAAACCGATCATCGGTTTAAACATTCATTTTCAAGGGCAAAATTCTCATTAAAATTTGTTACATTATCATTACCTGTTTGATTATTATAGACAGCTCCTACTTTGGGATTCCGTTTTTTTCGGGGAACCTTGCTTATTATAGATTGACGCTGGAACCCAGGAGTTTTTTATCCACTTTATTGTTATTTGAGGCGCTTCTCCTTTCCCCATTTTGTTATTATGTTTATATCAAATCAAAGTTATTCATGGGCAACCTCTAGAATAATAATATTGGGAAAAGGAGGAAATTGAAGAAAGATATTCCTGTCCAAAAGTCTTGCATTCCAACCAAATCAGGCATGGGTTTGATCTATGTTGCTAAAGATAAAAAAAACACACAATTATGGTTTTACACTCTTTATAACAGAATTCTATTGAACTGCATTATGGTCAAACATTAGACACTGCAGAAAAGGAAAGAAAAACATATCTGCCTATTTCAAGTTTACTGAGCACCAACGGTCTTGGTCCACAGAACAAAAGGGATGCTCTGGGCACAGATGAGTTGAACATTGAAGTGAACAGCATTTCATTTAAGGAAAGCAAACACAACACAATAAAAACTCATCCCTACAGTTAAGCATGATGGATGTTGTATCGTAGGGGGTGCTTTTATGCCTCTAGCATAGCTAAGATTCATTAAAGGACTGGTTAATTCAGGTTTTATCTGGAAAACTAAAACTGAAAAAAGTTGAGTCTATCAACATGACAATGATCCAAAACACAGTGGCTTAAATGGGAAAATTCAGGGTTTTTTTTAGAATTTCTATCTCAGAGTACTGATTTTGAACCCTTTAAAATGCCTTAGCATACTTAGAAGTCAGCTATTCAAATTGACATGCAAAGAAAAAATGTATACTAGAATGGGTCAAAATCCCTCTTAATAAATATCTATTTAGCATTTGCATACATTTTCCATCAATTACTTTATGTGTTAAAACTGTTTGTTCAATAAAATATGGCATTGGAAAATTTTATGTATGCTATTTATTTTTTATAACTTGCATGGGCAGGCGATCACTTGTAAGTTGCCATTCATGCAGAAATCCAGAAAATTCCTAAGAGTTTACAAATTTAAAATGTTCCACAGTGCTTAAACAATTACTCACTGTGTAACATCCTCTGCAAAACTAATTCCTGACAGCATCACAACACTAGAAAATACTATGGGGTCTATTCACGAAGCAGCCGAAGGATCTAGCCGTAGCTTCGGCCGATCCTTTGGCTAGCTTCGGTCCCATGACCCCTTCGGTTCAGGACCCCGCTCGGCCAACTTCAGCTTTCAGCGCGGCTCAGCTGAGCCGATGCATATGCGTTCGGCTCGACTGAGCCGCTCGACTAAGTTCGGGAGCTGTGCGGGCTATTGTGAATATTGTGAATAGTCCGTACAGCAGCCCTTACTGGCCGAGCGGCCGGCCTTTGGCCGGCCGTCAGCCTGCTTCTGACAGCTGGGCGGAGCCAGCCGTGATCTTACGGCTGGCTCCAGCCACTTGCAGAGAGATCAGGGTCCCTGGTTACCAGCTAACCAGGGACACTGATCTCCAGACAGCAAACTCTCCCGCTCCCGGCCGCCCAGGAGAAAAACACTGCTTTTTGTTTTTTTTCTTTATTCTGACACGTAATAGCCAATAGTAAACTAGCATTGCACCCGCCCTCTACTGCAGTTCTCCATTAGGTCCTTCAGCACAGGGCCGATACAATGCTAGTTTACTATTGGCTATTGCAAATTGAAATAGCCAATAGGAATCTAGCAATGCATTCCTATGGGCAAAATGTTTTTGTTTTTTTTTCTATTCTGACACGGCTCCGTGTCAGAATAAAGAAAAAAAAAGGAAAAAGCAGTGTTTCTCTCCTGGGCAGCACATTGGCTTTTTTTAAACACCCCATGTGTCTCAGCAATAGAACATTTTTTTGCATGCAACAAAAAGGGGGGTCATTGGGTTAAGCAATATGCCCAGTATGTTCATTTGCCTTTTATTATTTCAATGCACTGCAGATTTTACAGAAACATCAATCTAATGAAGGGGATTGGAATACAGGTCATGTGTATAGTGAGTACAAATTTTACTCATTTTGCATAGGAAATGATTATCGGTCTCTAGCTATCCTTACACTTTTATGTAGCTACATTATGAATGTATAATTTGCTTAAGGCCTTTGTAATGGAGTATAAATATACAAGGCTAATTTTAGAGGCACTGCTGCCTTAGATACACATTACTAATCTTACCCTTTTGTATAAGTCCACCCCATCTTGTTATCAATGTTGTCAAAGATCTAGCTCTAGAAATACGGCAGGCAGCCTGTAAGTATATATAGCATATATTTACAATTGTACTGAAAAGTCCTTAAATACAAAGTCTTTTTAGACCTTTAGAGCAGATACTCTACCACCTCAACATCCCCGACCCTTTCCCCATTACCGAATTAACCCAAATGGTGTCCAGTCAATAAAGGAAATTAAAAAAAGACAGCAACATATTTAAAGGTCTGTCCTTCCTAAAATGGTATTTCAGCTATAGGTGGCTTTGTACACTATATATGTTAAGGAATCCAGCAGTGAGGCCTCCTTGTGATAGTGTTTGGTCTTATTGTTGTCTATTGATGTTTTGGGTGTTTCCTCCAACCTTTGAGTGCTCCCATTTCTAATGTTGTATTCTTCATAAAATAAAATATATTTCATTCTGCTGTTCAGAGCTTAGAATTTGGTTGCACAGGTCTCACCACCATAACCTCCGAGAAATGTAAAGCAGAACTCCAACCAAAAAGAGTTAGATAAAAAATGAATAGCCAAAAGAAGATAACATAACAAAACCAGCCTTTGGGCAATATTCAGCTCATTTCAGAGATTTCCCTGAAGCATTTTTTTTCTGCCATTAGATGTCTCTGTCACTCTGGTTTCTCTTCCTATCAAATGCTTCCTGTCATATGATTGGCTCTTTGTGCTGCTGCCTTCTCTTACACTTCAGGCCTGCTATACAGTGACTGCCAGAGGCTGATACCAGTTTACATTCAGGTACTTACACTACTTGCATTAAAAAATACATTTAGTAATGTATTAATGATTGAAGAGCTGCATCCATTTGTATATTGTATATTTGCTCAGAGTTCAGCTTTAAGTAACTTTTAGGTGAATTAAAGCTATTGAAAATGGCTTTGAGTAAACTTGCCCTTTAGATGTTGTGTGCTGATATTACACTTGGGGCTTAGGTACATTTAGTAAATATATTCAAGTGCATGTGAAGTCACAGTATTTTAAATGAAAATGTTTAACACTGCAAGAAAACAAATCTCACCATTTGCAAAACATTCCTTTATTATTAGAAATACCTTTTGTATAAAAAAATGTGCATGCGTAAACCATTGCATTTATTAAACACAACCCAGGGCTTCATGTCAATCAGCCAATACAATGCACAAACTCATCTCCTATACAGAGAGAACAAGAGAAGACAGGAATGAAGTTTCTCACAAGTCACAAAAAAGTACAATTATGGTGTAACATATGGCAGATTTTTTTTTCTTCCATAAAATGCAGTTTCATCTGTAAATGTTAGCATTTATTCTGATACCACTTTTAGTGCACAATAGTATATCTTTATCTTTCATGTGCTTTTGTTTAAAATACTTTGACACTTTCATATTCAAAAAATAAATTCAGGCATTTTCCATACATCATGTCCTTTTTGTTTATTTGAACTTCTGAAATAGTTTAAACCGTAGAATGGAAAACATCTTGGTAAAATTTGGTGTTCAGTATTGTGGTGAAAAGATTCTTGGTTCAGGTTGCATGATTACTATAGCTGACATACGTCGTCTTCGTAGATGAAGCTGTAAAATGCAAAGAGATATAAGTTAGTATATTTATGTAAACTGCAACATTACTCTCATTTGTATTTTGTGATAATTCACAGTTGATGGTATGGTTCTAGTGGCACAAGGCGCGTTAATGTTGGTGCACTTCTGATAATTGAATGATGCACAATGACATTGTGTATGGCTTAGCAGCAAGCACATGCTGATTAGCATAAGAATGAATGAACATGCTATGCCTAAATAGAATAGAATAGAATAAACACAGAAGTCATTCTCTGTGATCTGAAGATGGTCTATGCATTTAGCCATGTGATCTTTAGGGGTAATTAAAGGGGAAGTCAAAAGGTGCCCATACACCTTACAATTATCTGCAGATTTTCTGTGGTCAGATGGAAAAAGTGCAACAGATTCCTCTATCTATGGTAAGCTTTGTGGATGAAGGAATCTCCCACTGGGCCAAGCTTCAGTATCTTGCTAGTTGGCCCCACTGGCTGTCAAAATACCTGAACAATCTGATTGGATGCAGGCATTGTGCAGGTGTTTTGAGAGCCAGCGGGGCCGACCAGCAAGATTACGGAAGCTTGGCCCAGGTGGAGATTACTCCATCCACACAGTTAAGTGTAGATTGAGGAATCTGTTGCACCTTTTCTATCTGACCACAGAAAATCTGCAGATAGTTGTAAGGTGTATGGCCAGCTAAACAGTGTATTTTTTCATGTAACCTGGAACTGTGAAAGACCAGAACAGAGGTTTGTACAGCCAAGAAAGGCATGTTAGAGCTTATGCTACTCTTTATGGATTTATCCAGGTGGGCAAGGTACCAGGAGAACACATTTTGACTAAAGGTTCACTTTAAGCTGAGACCCATACTAATTTTTCCAAGGGATGTGTTCAAAAGATGCACTAACTCAGCAAGTGCAAGTGGATACTTTTTATATATGTTCCCGCTACTTATTAAAATAAGATGCCCTGGATTGCCCTGGATTGCCCTGAATTGACACTTAGAATGTGTCAAACTAATTTGAATGCTACAGTAGTTTAATGTCAAAGTATAACATATATTTGACAAACTACAAATATGTTTAAAGAAAACAAAAAGAGTCAAAAAGCACCTAATGACCTTGCTCTTAAAGTGTACATACCATTCATACAGTGTCGATACATTTAATTGACTCAGCCATTATTTCAGAGAATATAGCTTTACCTTGGTAGGAACTTTTCATTATGGCATAAAAAATATCTTGTGTCAGTGTGCTATAATTTGTAATACACTTAATTTGAATTAGATTATCATATTAAACAGCATTTGCATACAATATTCTCATTTTAAGACTGAGCCAGCGTAATACCTAAAGTACATTTGTTTCTTCAGTATGTTTTATATATACTGACTAAGCCTAAATAAATAAACCTTATGTAAAAGTACAGTATAAAAAATGGATCCAGTACAAATAACATGGGCATAAATAAATATTTTGGCATAAGGCATGCAGTTTTTATACTTATTTGCAACTATTTATTTTGTAAATGCAGCAGGTCATATCAGTAATGCGGTAGTTGGATGTGTGTATGTATATATATATATATATACACATTCAATTCAAATCAAGTGAAAAGCAAATTCCTTTTTACTTATCTCACCTGCACACAATTGGATAATAATTTATTGTGTGATGATTCTCAACTGCATTAGTAAAATCAGCCTCACAGTGTGCAGACATTGGATAATTTCCAGCAACAGTTTTATACATTTTATAATTGTTTTTTTGCAATGTTTATGTTATGTATTCTCTTAAATGTTATTATGTCTTTTTTTACTTTTCTTTTTTATTACTGCTAATTCAATCTACTATTTCTTTATCATTAAAATTAGTGTATTAATGTTGTGTGCAAATGATTCACAGCTAGTACTAATAAGGCAGGGCCATTTCCAAAAACAGAGATTTGTAAGCAATTTCGTTATTTGCCAGCCAATTGACATAATTTTGGACAAAAGTGGCATTTTTGCAAGACAGCAACTGCCAAACTGGAGCAACAAAGAAAGAGAGAAGGAATTTAAGCCATAATCATAGTGCTTCATCGTGTTTCCTAAATAAATATGGTGTATTCAAAGAAAATATTACAAATTATCCAGGTGAATGAAACTGTGGAAAATGCATCTATAACTTCACCATAAAGTGGCACACACCCTTTTCCCCCCACTATTTATAACCAATTGGGCATTACCGAAAATGCTATTTGAATCCTAGCAGTACAGCATAAACTACCCAACAAAACAACACTATATAGTAGTGCAGTCAAAATCTCCTATACGGATAATTTTTGATGCTTAATGGATTTTCCAACATTGAGAAAACATCCATCAATTTATACCTTAGGGATCTTTTGCTAAATATATTGGCTTTCTTTTTGATTTTCACTAGCACTATGATATCTTGAGGATAGAACTGTTTATATAGGTTAAATATAGACATCAAACAAGTTCTATCTTTGATATAACGGTAACCACTGTATAGATTTTCATTGTATCCAAGAGCAATCGTCTTCTAATATGAACTTTGTCCTAGGATCACTGATGCCTTGCAATGTATGAAATATTTCATTATAGTTAGGGATCCAATAGATGTTAACAAAATAACAATTTAACAATATAACTTAAGAAAAAGCCAGATAAATATTTGTACCTAATATAAAATTTCCCCAAGGAGGTAAACAATAAAAAGACTTTATATTTTTCCCCATTATCATATATTTTAAATGAAAATATCTTTCATAAAGAATATTTTCCTTAAAATCTGTGTTTTTTCTTCCGAGTTTTACTAAGACAAGAGGTAAAACTAGAGATTTGCTTACATACAAATACAACTCTTGTCAGTTTTGTCATGTATTATGCCCAGCTCAAATTGTTATTATTTATTTTTTAAGTACTGAAATATTTATTGTGGCAATGAGAATATTTATAACTATCCATTTTTATTTGTTAGTGTTATTTGTAATGTGCCTTTTTTACCTTTAAACAGTACCGAGACCTTGTAAATTATAAATAATGCAAAATGCTCATTCATTTTGCAATTTTTATGTATTTTGTCTAAAGGGCAAATATTTCTACACTGAAAGCTAATCAAGGTGAAACCTCTAAACTAAAATGTAGATTTTAGTAGTTGGAGTTATTCAGATTTTTTTCACTGAAAGGCTTCCAAAATGAATATAAAGATACTGATCGTATCTGAATTTTTCTGAAAGCAGTAGTAAAGTTTTCTTACACATACAGATTTGCTAAGACATTGATCACCATCTGATAAGGGTATTACATGTCTATTCACATATGGAATACTTCACCAAAGGTAGGGATACACCCATGATGAAACAACTCACAATTAGCAATAGAAATGTTTAATGCTACCTGAAATCTGATTAACTGATGGGCCCAAGAGCAAGGTCTAAGACAGACCCCCTGGCCCTCAACCTCATAATTTCTCCACTTCTATGTACACCTCCAACCCCTATGACTCCCCATGCACCCTACACACCCAGCCTATAACCTCTTGTAATTATACCCCCTAATTTTATAACCTCTCTTCCATACTTTACCCTCCAACTCCTATGACCACTTATGAGGCATGTGCTCCTACCCTCTGATTTATAGCTATGTTTAGTCAGTCAGTTGTGAGATTGCACAAAACACCTTCTGTCACTATCTGGAAGATATGTGTGCACTTAGGACCATATTAAACTGGCAGCTCTGCCAGTTTAAGATGGCAGAGCTGCCATCTTAAAAATAAAAAAATAAATAAACTGTTAGCTTCCCTATGGATGTCACTTCTCTGCTATCTGAGTTGCTGGATAATCTTGATTACTAGCAGAGGAGTGGTAACAGAGTGACACCTTAATGATTTGGGCAGTAAGAGAGTGATGCCATTGGAGAAGGTGATTTGACAAAATCGCTAACATACATGGACTAAGAATAAAATTGCTTCCTATGTTTCCTCATCAAATACACTTGGAGCCACTCGATGACATTGGATGGATACTCTATGACAACCTCTGGTTAAGATTTTGCCTAGTTATGCATGAGATACTAAATATCTTATCCAAAGTTTAGAGGGAATGGAATGGGTTAGAGAAAATAGATGGCATATCTGTGATGTTACTTCTCTCTATTCGAGCCTTCCCCATGCTTCAGGTATGGAAGCTCTTAAACACCACTTTGATAATTACACATATGGCTCCTCAGATCCTAAAAAAATTATTAGTGATGCCGTATATTTTCTGCTCAATCACAACTACTTCATGTTTGATGGCCTGTTCTATTCCAGAAGTGCGGCGCTTTGATGGGAGCAAAATTTGTTCCCACCTAAGCCTGTTAAAAGGGCTCATTGAGCCCTTTTAACTTCAGTCCTACCACCCGCTGGTCTCTACAGCCTTTTTTAACAGTTCTCTCCCATACACTACCGCCAGACGTTTTACACGCCGCTACAACCAGACACCTAGGGACAGGACCGCTTCCTGAACTAAACACTGTCTTGTGAGCTGCATGACAGATGTTTAGTCCGTTCGAGTACCACTCAGCCAGACCGAGCGTCCAGCCCTCACCGCTCGGACTCCCGTCCACACAGAAGCAACACGGACGGTGTCTTCACACTACCCTTCCTCACCCTTTGGTGCTCAGCCCTGCAATCTCCAGCTGTGACAGGCAAGCCCTGACAGCGCATCAGCCACGAGACTAGAATACTGATCTTGGAACTTCCGATCCTCCTCAAGGGCTGCCCCTCTTCTGGTTCCTTCATTCAAACGTAAGTGCACATTCATTAATAGTTTTGTTTTTTTTTGCACATTGGTCCAGATTTATGTCATAACCACCCTCAAGTTTTGCGTCCTTGTGTGCTTTCCATTTTAGCCTGCACAGGTCCTCCTCCTGTTTCTAAGGGCAGCACACTGTTCATTCAGGGCCCCCTCCCGAGAGCGCTGTTTGTCGTTTTTTGTATAAAAGATATGAACAACCCAATTAGACAGCA